CACACCGATACCAAGGTAAGAAAATTGTGAGAAGCTGACACGGGCGTAGAAACGAGATGTCCCGCACATGTTTGACAGTGGCAGTGAGACCTTAATAGCTGGGCGCCCTTAGTCCGTGGCGTTGTACGTCGAGAGCTTTCTGCTGTGAAAAGGCATTAAAAATACCCTACTTGCCTGTGTGTATGTGTGTGTGTTTTAAAGGGACAGGTTGTAAGTGGTGAGAAGCCCAGTATATCTCGAACACAGTCCCAGCTGTCTGTTTCAACTGCGTCCGTTGTCCGTCCCCACACCATCCGTCGGCCCTTATTGCACGCTGACAATCCCACTTCTCTCCAGCCCTGAGATTGACAGAGGTCACACACCCCCTCCGTCGTCCACCCCGCCACCCACCCTCCCCATCTCATTCACACTTCCGTCTCCACTCCGGCCAGCTTGGGGGTGAGGATCCGAGGCGTGACGCCAGTGTTGAGGTCTGTTTCGAATTCCAGCAGCTGCCCCATAAAGTTCAGGTTGGGGGAAATGATCGGCCGCCGGCCTTTGACGTATTTGTAGGCGTCGCCCATGGTCATGAGCGTGTGCTTCATCAGGTAGGCGATGACAATGGTGGCCGAGCGCGAGACGCCCGCCTGGCAGTGGATGAGCACCCCCTTGCCACTCTGGTGTGCCTCCTCTGGAGAAGGGAGAAGAAATACAGGGACATTAATAGAAGGAAAAATCCGTTCCCTGAATAATGCCCCACCCAGATTTAGGTCAGAATTAATCTCATTTCATACCCAGCTAAACTGCCTCTTCACCTAGAGTGAGCGGAAATTTAGCTCCAGGCGAATAAACAACAAAGATGGCTTATTCTGTTTAAGCCCAAAGTTGCTGACAATATGCTTAATTTCAAGCTTGATTTATTTTGTGTCGGGAAAAGTGTTCTGAAAACCTGAGCCTCTGGAACAGGGCCACACCTGACCCCATTCTCTCTAGCCACCTTCTGCTCGGTCTCTCAACTCGCTCCAAAAAAAGAGTGGCCGACCCTTTTAAAACAGGGCAACGTCCGTACCGATGAATTCAAAGGCCTCCTCAAAGTACTGGCGCAGGTCCTGGCGGTTGTTGTCGGTGGCGGGCAGGCGCTTATAGCGCAGGCGGCCGCTGTCGGCGTGGTAGAGGGGCAGGTGGGTGGTGACGTTGAGGACGTGACCCACATTGAGGCTGAGCATCCGTTCGAGGTCCTGAGCATCTCGTTCGTTGCCGAGGAACAGGAAGGGCAGGATGGGGCTCAGCTCGGCATTTTCCAGGTCCGGTGTGAGCGGGGGACCCAAATCATCAGGACCGTCTCTGATTTCCGGCCCAATCAGACTGCCTGTGGTTAAAAACATGGAACAAAGGTGGTCAGTCCGGGGGGGGGGAGGGAACGCACATTGATGATATCTCCCTCTTACTTAGGGCTACACCCTTCACCAATTGATGGACCATCCCTGATTTTAGTTGAGTGGTTGCTTTTGACAAAAAGTAGATATAGTGGATAGGGGGTGGGGGAGAGAGATTAAAGGACTCCTTTTCTTCCCATAGAAAGAGTTCTGTGGACTCTCTGAAGCTTGCACCGCTTGAAGGGCAACAATGCATTTCTAGTTGAAGTATTTCATTGTCTCTGGCATCCAGACACCTCCTCTCGGGCAAACTGGTGCCAGCCCATATATCCTGTGAAGTTGATTGCTTGCAAGCTTTGTGCCCGAGGAAGCAAGGGTGGAGTGTTTGTGTGTGTGTGTAGGGGGGGTGCTGGTGTTGGGCTGAGTCTAGGATCATGTTTTTTTTCTCTCTCTTCCTGCTTTGAAACATCTGCTGGTAAAATGACACCCCCAACCCTCTATGGGGGGGGCGCGTTTGGTGGGGTGAGGGAATGAGTGCGAAAGAAGGTCAGAGACATGATGTAATGTTACCAGCTGGGCAGAGTTCATCCTGGTTCAGCGGGCTCCCAGCAGGTGCTAAAAGAGGGAGTGGGGAGGGCTGTGGGCACCCTCGGGTCGGGCTAGAAAGCATGATTCCCCCCCCCAACCGAAGCCACTCCGATGGCCTCTTCATCCAAACCCCCTTCTCTCCGATCTTGCCATCTGGGTGTGCAGCTGGGATGAGGTCATCACCAAAGAGAAGAGGGAAATATGAACCCCAGGACTTCTGCAATCTTGCAAAACAGACACCCTCTTGGGTACAAGGAAAAACATGGCTGGAAATATCAGAATAGGGCCGTGGCCTGCTCAGAGCGTCAAAACATCCCTTTGGGAGTGGGGCGGGGCACAGCCTCCCAGAATGCTGGGAGTTGTAGTCCATTGGGTCTCAGGTTTTGCTCTTACGGGGAATAATGTTCTGTCTCTCATACAAACCAAGAGCGACATACATATCTCAAAAGGAGTTCTTTTTCTACAATAGAATAGCAGAAGCTGTAAAAAGAACAGAAGAAGCCTTTGGGGACAGGGAACAACCTTCCACTGTTTGCTCTCTTCGGCATCTGGTGTTTGGAGATACACTGCTCCTGCACAGAGAGGTTACATTTCACCGACATTGACTGTCGGAATTGCAGATTCCAAAAAAAAAAGGGTCTAATTCAGGGATGCCAGACCTGTGGCTTTCCATGTATACTGAGGAGCAACAAATCCCCTGCTCCCCTGCTACTGGCCATAGAGGTGGGGATGATGGGAACCAAAGTCCAATAACATCTGGAAGGCCACGGGTTCCCCAGCTGTCGTCTCCAAGAATGCCACAGCAATTGCGGCGTGCCGTGTAAGCTCCGTCGCAACTGTGTGACACCTCCATGTGTTAAAATTAGCCTTTGTAAAATCATAGAATCATGGAGTCGGAAAGGGCCTCTAAGGACATCGAGTCCCACCCCCCCTTGGCTCCAGGCACGAATCCAACTCAAAGCAGATCGGACAGAGGGTGGTCCCGTTTTCTTTGGAGCGCCTCCAGGGCTGGAGCGCTCGCCACCTCCCAAGGTCGGTGGTTCCACTGTCGTACTGCTCTAACAGTTAGGAAGTTTTTCCTGATGTTCAGCCTCAATCTGGTTTCCTTTAAGTTGAGCCCCTTGTTACGTGTCCTGTATTCTGGGATGATTCAGATCTGTAGGGCTAACTTTCAGGGCTTTGAAAAGTGCTCTCCTCTCTCCCCTCACTGTTCTTTTGAGGCTAAACATGACCGGTCCTTCATCTTTCCTGACGGGTGTTCCCCCTTACGATTAGGGGAGTCAGAGCATGGGAAATATAGTTGGGAGGGGGTGGACTACAACTCCCAGAATCCCCCAGCCCAGTTTTGCACAGTCCCTCCCCATCCAAGTGATTCAAGCTCCAGCCAGGTTCCCCCTGCCCAGCTTTTACCTCTTTTGCCCGATCCTTCTTGCCCGTCTTGTTTGAGCAGATCCAGCACCAGGTGGAGGTTCTGGGAGGGCTGTGTTTTGCGGGGTTTGGGCGGGCTGGCAGGCGGTGGCTCCAGCCCTCCACCGCCGGCGGGTTCCTTGGAGCAGAGCCGCTCGAGCGAGGAGTCCCTGCAGTCGCAGCCTCCCCGGGAGGAGAGGAAATCGAGCATGGCCAGCTTGCCCTGCTGGAGCCTCCGCCTCCCGGCCGCTTCGGCCACCCCAAACCGCATGGCCCCCTGCAGCTGGTGCTTGGTGTATTCCATCAGGTTGCGGCAGTCCAGGATCAAGGGGGAGGCTCGGGGGGGCTCCGACTGCTGCGCCCGGGACTGGGTCATCTTCTTGGCCAGCTCGTCGGGCCAGATCGTGCGGACGCTGTAGTCGTCGTCGTTGTCGTCCCCCCCTCCTCCGTAGCAGCTGGGGGCCGGGGACGAGCCCCCCCGGGGGTCGTAGGCCACGATGGGGTCACTGCTGCAGAAGCTGCAGGAGGAGCTGGCCGAGGTGACCGAGGGGTTGCAGGCCAGGCAGGCCAGGGAGCGCAGGGTGGCCGGCCCGCAAGGCAGGCAACCCAGCTTCCTCAGGGAGGGAGGGCTGCAGCTGGCGCAGCTCAAGGAGCGCAGGCTGGAGTGGCAGGAGAAGCAGCCCAGGGCACGCAGGCCCGGCCTGGGGTGGGCTTCGTCGCAGCGCATCAGGCGCCAGCAACCCCGGCAGCCGCACTTCAGAGGGTGCATGGTGGCGGCCGGGCTGGAGAGGCACGAAGAGCTGGCCGAGGTGTCCAGCAGCCCCGGCTTGGAGTTCTCCTTGAAGCACCGCTTCTTGAGCTTGGCCTGGGGCAGGAAGACCTTCAGCTGGGGACCCCGGGGACCCTTCTTCTCCTCCTCCTCCTCCCTGCCCTGCTTAAGGTCCAGCTGCAAGGAGAGGCTCTTCTCCGGCACCCGGATTGGGGCCCCTCCAAGGGTGAGCTTGATGTCGATGGTGTGGGAATGGTTGGGCTGGAGGACGCTGCTCCGGCGGTGGCGAGGTTCGTCGGAGGGACCCTTGGGGGCTGCGGTCGGGGGCTTGGAGACGGGCGGCGGTGGCGGTGGCTGGCGATGCCGGTGCGGCGGCTTCTCGGGGCCACCGTTGTGCGCAAAGCTGTGGTTGAGGCGCAAGGCCAAGGTCTTGGGTCTCTGCAGCACGCCGATCCGTTCTTCCAGGGGCGAGGGAGGCATTGGGAAAGGCGAGCTGCGGGGAAGCAAAAAAAAGGAGGAGGAGAGGTGTTAGAAGAAGCCGGTTCAGGAAGCTGCCTGTAGGTTTGTATCCAGACCCTTATTTGAAAGGGTTGGCTTTACAAAACTGACACATTTGACAAAGACCACGGTTTCCACCCGAGTGATTGAACACCAAACAAATGAGAAGACTAATTTGCAAAGCTGTGGAAAGTGTTTGGGGATAATCACCCATCTTTTACTACTTAAGCCAGTTCCACTTTTAGTTGCAATGCTCCCCCCCCCCCCTTTTTTTTTTTTTT